GTATACACAATAGCAGCCATGCAGACTCATATACACAAAGCATAACAATGGATAAATAAGACTTGTTATTGCCATCTGGTCCCTAATAAACTCCCAGGAGCTGAAAACAAAAATTTTTTAAAATTATTTAGTGTAGGGTTGAGCCTCTGTTGGATTCTTGAGTATGGGTCTCCAATCTGGGACCCTCTTCAGTCTCTCTATCCTCCTCAATTGACTTTGTACAGTACTTTGCTCTTAAAATGATTTCAAAATCCTGGTCCACCCCCTATAGCACCCTCCTCTCTTCTCTCAATTTAAGTACTCTGGAACATCGACGTAAGAGATCAAAGCTTTTATTCTTTTATAAAATTAACAATGGACTCACCCATTCAACTCTTCCCCTTACTCCACACCCTCCCCCTCCACCAATGTCTCTCCGTCACTACTGTCCCTATAATTTTATTGTTCCATTCTGTCGCACCTCCTCCTATAGCCTCTCCTTCCTTCCATCTACTATTAGACTTTGGAACTCTCTCCCAAGTAAAACCAAACAATCAACCTCCATCTGTTCCCTTGTGAAAAATCCCAGCAAGATCTTATAAGGTTTTTCATGATTTCACATGATTATACAAGAAAACATAAGATAGTAATCTTGTAAAATCTTAACACAGAAATTCTTGCAAATTCTTATTTAAGATTTGATAAGATTTGAACAAGCTGTCAGATCTTGTGAGATCTATCATAACTATAATTCTTGTAAGAATTTTAAAGATCTTATGAATAAAGGAATATGTCAGAAAATGTAAGATCATGCCTCACTTAAATCTTGTAATACCACACCTTGTAAGAACTAAGATGATCTTGTTAAATTGAAATCTAATAAGATCTTACAAATCTAGTAAGTTTATGATCTTGAAAAATCATCCATGATCACACAACACATAAGATCACTCATTAAGTCATAAAAGATCTTGAAAGATCTTACAAATTGCATGAAGTCACAGGAAGTGGTAGACAACCCATGATAGCCTTTACGATAATGGCAGTATATAAAGAAAGTAAAATTTCAACATAATTAAGTCAAAAAGTTAATGAAGTTTTAATTAACCTTCACATCATTAAGTAATTCATTTATGCAATGTATGATCTTGCTCAGATCTTACTGTTACATCTATTTTTCATAAGCTGAAACTTCATGTAAGAACTCGGCTAATATTTTTAAATCTTGATAAAGCAAGATCTCATGATATCTTTCATGTTCTTTGTTTCAAAATCAGGCCGATCTTGCTGTGATCTTAAGGTAAGATCTTGCTGTGATTTTCTAAGAATTTGGTAAGATCTTGAAAAAGATCCTGTAAGATCTTGCTTACATTTTGATAGCAAGATCTAACACTATCTTACATAATCCTTGTTTCAAAATCAGGTAAAATCTTGTGAAATATTAGCAAGAATCTTGTTAAGAATTTTAAAGAAACTTAACAAGAATCTTGCTGGGATTTTTCACAAGGGTTATTTTAAATTCTATCTAGATTATAAATTTTGATTTTTATGTTATCTCTTAATCATGTATTTATTCTCTTTTTCAATTAGCATCAGCTATTTATTCATATAAAAATAAAAAAAAATTGAACCTATGAAATGAATTCAAACAAGCCCCTGTAGGGTTGCTGGTTTAAAAGTATAAAACAAGCCCCTGTAGGGTTGCATCACCATTGAAACACCAACATGTCAACCCTACACTGCAGGTATGAAATGGCCTATAGCAGCACTGATGAGTATTGCTATCAATGCTATAGTGTGGCATTATGATAAATCTTGTGCATGCCTTCAATTAAATTAAAAATAATGATAATGATTGGATAATTATACCTGCAATGTAGGGTTGACATGTTGGTGTTTCAATGGTGATACAATCCTACAGGGGCTTGTTTGAATTCACTTTATACTTTCAAACCAGCAACCCTACAGGGGCTTGTTTGAATTCATTTTATAGGTTCAAATCCAACAGAGGCTCAACCCTACACTAAATAATTTAAAAAATTTTTTTGTTCTAGTTTCCATCCTTTTTTTTAATCAACAACACTGTTTTTGTTGAGCATTAATTTTTACAATTTTGAAGAGTATTTCTTAATTTTTAGGTAATCCTGAAAGTGCATCCAAGGCAGTTGAAAAGAAGCATCCTAAACTATTAAAAAGTAAGTAAAATAAACAATATTTTTTAAAAACAAAATTAAATCTATATTTAACAGAAATATAATTTGACGAGAGGAGTTTGAAATGTTGCATTCATTACAGGAGGCCTAAAAGAAGACAAAAAGAAAGTTAAAAAATTAATTGTATTATCATGAACAAGTGTGATGCTGAAACATTTTTGCTACAATTAAGTTATAATCTGATTACTACAAATCACGTTAAGAATAAAAAATTGACAGTAATGGATGAAGGAACTTGACAGAAGTGGCATTCCATGCAATGAAGGCAGGCTAGGTTAATTTAAGTTGAATAAGGAAAAGTTATGTTATGTGTGTACGTGTATGAGTCTTCAAAACTAAATTTTGAAAATTTGAATGAAGTGGTATTGCTTGTAAATTCAAGTGTCATACATGCATAATGTACAGGAAATAGAAAAAGAATTAAATTTAGGTATTGTAACTTACCTAGGTTTATTGATGGAGCTCCAGTGTGAGATAGAGAGGGACAGAGAGAAAGGGAGACACATGGATGAGGAGGGAGGAACTGAGGGAGAGAGAGAGAGAATTGTGAGTACGTTTGTATAAATCTGACAATGCATACATAACATCGTGAACTTGTGTGTCTTAAGGAAAGTTGGAGGCATGATTATGAAAGTACATGTACATTCATTTTAGAGTTTGAATAAAATAAATAGTGAAGGTTTGCGTATAAGAGTTTGAATAAGAGTGGGTATTGGGTAGAAAAACTACCAGTAG